TAAGTTTGGACCTTTGAGTAGATATTGGTGTATGCGATTTGAGGCAAAACATCGTTTTGCTAAAGAACTTTCTTCAGTTATATGTAACTTTAAAAACATCTGTTACTCTGTCATGCATCGATACCAATTAAAACTTGCTAATTGCTTATTTAGTCGGTCATTATATTCAGATATTAAACAGCTGGGTAAATGTGATAAAGTTATTATTGGAAATTTGCATGTGGAAATCGGAAGCATCATATGTGAATCATTAAACTTGAATATATTTGATGAAGTTTATGTTTCTTGTTCGATTACTTTTGGATCATATCTAATCAAATTAGGTTGCATTTTGTGTCATGATGTAGTAGAAGTATCTCTAATAGTATCACTATCTCTAATAATTTTTATTGTCAAGCATTAAAAAATAACATTTTAATATTTAGGTCGGTGAGTCGATTGCATTTTTCGCAGAAAATCTTGAGAACCCATATCCTGTTTTGTTAATACAAGGGCAGGAAGGCGAAACTATTTTATCAATAAACATTGCATATGAAAAAAAAATAATCAATGCAGGCAAATCTATAACGGAAGGTATAGATCGAATGCTCAAACTTTACTGGTGTTTCAATATTCAATATGATCCAATTTCTGATTATTTTTGGCAGTTCATTCAGACTCATTATGATCTTGACACTGGAAAAAAGCCTAAATGTGTAATTGAACTACTGGCTAGTTTACTAAAATATACAATGTATTCAAGTGATAGTTTCTGATTTTTTTTATCTCTAACAAATATGTTTTTATTTTATTGATTTAATCTATCTTGATATCTTTTTTTAAACTGAAAGAAAAAAGCTCAAAAGAGACTCTTTTTAGTGGAAATTTTAGAATTTTAAACTGTTATCTATAATCTTATTTATATAATTATATTAAAATTTAAATTATTTAAATATATAATTTTTTGTCAACTAGATATTTTTTCATTGTTTTTTTATCCCTGAGCTTTATTATTTTTACTAATGTGCAGCTGTGGTTATAGAAAAAAGATCATACATAATAAGTTATTAGATTATGTTAGAAGTGCTTGAAATAATGAAGTAAATAAATCTTTGAAAAATATAAAACAGGAAAGTCTTGAATATAGTGCCTCAACATTTTTTCTTTCCTATTTGGTTCCAAATAAATTAAAAACACAAATCTCAAATGAGTAAACAAAAACAAACTATATAATGAAAAAACATTTCCCTTAACAATTTTTTAAAAGTTGTGATCTTGAAAAACAAAAGTTTTGTATACGAAACTTTTCGACGATCTCAAATTTTCAAAAAAATTGTTATAGCACTAAAACTACAAAAGCAAAGTATAGTATAATATTTAACTATAGAATTTAAATTTGAGATAGTTAGGGGGGGGGATACTATCCTCTGTGCGTACGTCAGCATCAGCGCCGTGCTGTAACTTTTGGGGGCCCTGTGCAGAAACTAAAATAAAAATTTTTTTCTTTCAATTCGTGGTAATTTATGGTATTGGAGAAGTTTTTCTAATGTATTTAATAGGGGGCCCAGTGCGATTGCACTTGTTGCACTTGCGATAGTACGGCACTGGTCAGCATCAATTTACTTTATTTTACTATTTTTCCTAGTAACTAACTTGTTTTCCTGTTAACTAAGTTGTCCATCGACAAATAAATTACTTGCCGTAAAGTAAAAATTCATTAAGAAGCGCGCATTGTAGTGACTAGTGTCGTTATGAGGAGCATCTTATTTTGTTAATCGTTTGATAAATTATTTTAGTAGGTAGGTTTTTCAGTATATTATAGCTTTTTATTTTGAAAATGATAAAGTTTTGAATGCGTTTTTCTCACATTTACATTTACATCGTAGATAAAACTTGGATGCAGTAAGAGTAATGTGCCATTTTTTAAAAGTCTTTACATTTAGTAGACAAATGCTTTGTTTAAAAGCAAATGAATAAATATAATTTAAATTACGCTATGTTATGTGTAATTTCGAAGGTTATTTAACTTATTTTAAATTTTCTATATAAAGCTTTATATAGAAAATTTAACAATAAGGTTTATTTTAAATTAACAATGCTTTAAAGCAATGAATCTATTTTAAATTGTTTTTATATGATATATTAAAGCCATTAGTATTACTAAATAATATACAATAACATATTTGGTAAGTTAACACATGTCAGATATGGTAAGTTACTACATGTTTAAATCTAGAAAATTATGCAAGAATATATATATATATATATATATATATATATATATATATATATATATATATATATATATATATATATATATATATTCTTGCATAATTTTCTAGATAGATATATATGCAATCCATATATATGCAATCCATATAGTCTATATTATGTAAATAATAGTTCAACTAATCCTTTACTAGTAGTAAAAGGTTAGTTAAACAGCTAAGTTTACATGGATAGTTAATATGCTTTTATAAATTGCAATTTTTATTAATTTTTAAATTAAACATGTGGCATCCAATATCATAAACTAAGTTTATACTGGTGTGTTTAAATTATTTTAAAATTTTCTATTTTAGACACATGGCATTTGTTATCCCACTGTAAGTTAAAACTAGTTGTAAAATTAAAAAATTTATATTGGAACTTCTATTTCTTTTAACATTCATGTTTATTTAATTTAGTTACAACTAAGGTTATATATGAGTTATTTATACTATTTTACAACTTGCTGCTTTAGAGGCATGGCATTTAGTGTCACATTGTAGGTTTAAGTTGGTTGTAGAATTTATACTGTAACTTTTGCATTTATTTAGTTAAGTTTCAACTAAGTTTACATCTGATGTGTTTGTATTATTTTAGAATTTGCTGTTTTAGACACGTGGCATGTGGTATCCCACTGTAAGTTTGAATTATTAAATTTAAAAAAATTATACTTTAACTTGCATTTCTTTTGACTTCCATGTTTATATAATTACATTACAACTAAGTTTGTGTATGGCTTGTTTATATTATTTTAGAATTTGCTATTTTAGATACTTGGTATATGCTGTCATACTGTAAGTTTAAATTGGTTGGAAAATTTATATTGTAAATTGCATTTCTATTGGCGTGCATATTTATTAAGTTAAGTTTCAACTATTAATAATAACAATAAGTTATTAACCTGACGTGTTTATATTATTTTAGAATTCACTGTTTTAGACACGTGGCTTGTGATATCCCACTGTAAGTTTGAATTAGTAAATTTAAAAAAAATTATATTTTAACTTGGATTTCTTTTTGCATGCATATTTATTTAGTTACGACTAAGTTTAAATCACACTTTTTAACTATTATTCTACTATATTATATATTCACTATTTTTTTAGAATTAGCTATTTTAAACATGTGACAAGTGGTATGACCCTGTAAGTTTAAATAAGTTGTAAAATTAATTTTTTTATATTGTTACTTGCGTTTTTTTGGTCTGCATATTTAATCTTGTTTTGATGTATCATAGTTTTTAAAACTTTAGAGACCTTATTTTTTGCTCCTGACAGGTATTGATGTATGTGAAATGTCTTTCAGTTATCAGATAGTGTCAAGGTAATTTTATACTTTTTTTTAAATTTACATTTTAATTTACTTGTACCATTTAACTTTATCTTTAGAAAGCAATAACAGATATTATCAAAATAACAAAATTTGAATAGAAATTTATATATAATGAATTAGCAAAAAAAAATCTATAGTATTATCAGTAACATTTTATTTTGGTTTTAAACTAGGTATGTTATTAAGTTGCTGTATTTTCCTTAATTTATTTTATCTTTAAGGAGTTGACAGTATGGTGTCCGATTTGAACCTGTAGAGAAGTAACAACAATATTCAAAACCAAAACCTATTTAAACCAACCAAACCAAAACTATCGACCAAAAACTAATATCTTGGCATTGATTTATATTAAACATCTATTATATATATGCGTGTGTTTTATATAAATGTACTAGCTTGAGTATAGTGTATTTAAAATATTTTTTTCAACTATTTTTATTGATGTTAAACTTAGTATAATGTATTGTTAGTATTTTATATACTTAGTATTTTATTGTAGTATAGCTTGAGTATAGTGTATCTAAAATATTTTTTTTTCAACTATTTTTATTGTAATTTAAAGTATATTGGATTAAATATTATAAATATTTGATTAGTTTTCAATTTTTGGTTTTTTAATTTTAAGTCAATTTTAAGTAGAATATCGAAATAAAATGCAATTAAATAAAAATGCAAACATTAACAAATATAAGGATTATTTGGTCACAATTCTGGCCTCTCTTATTTTAGATAAAGTGATTTCAAAAGAATAACAACCGCGGAAAATTTGCTGTCTAGTGTAATAACTCTTTAATTTCAACGGATTATTCGTTGCACTAATGATATAAATCCGTATATTCAACGGACTAATTCTAACGGACTTCAATCCGTTAAAATTTTAATTTGTTAAGTTAACGGATTTCCCGTTAGTGCAATAGCGACAGATACAATTCGTTGTATATAACGGATTTTTTCTTAGAGTGTAGCGTCTTAAAGACATCGTAAATAAGACTTTTAAAGACGTCTTTTTTCCCACTGGGACAGCTTTGATTTTTTTATAGCTTACAACATTAAATGTAATATATTCGAATTGTAAGCTATAAAAAATTAACTTATATTTATAAACTATTATTATTTAAATATAAATATATAACTTATAAATATAAGTTTATAATTGTTGCAAGCTCTTTATAATTGTGATAAATTAAAAAAACAAATAGTTAAGAAGAACATATTTTTAAATTAGTGTTCATACCTTTATATTGAATCCTTCGCCCCCTCCCATTTGTAGACTTACTAAACTACCACCACCACTACCCAATTTTTTGTACGTAAAAATTACAATATATATACTGTGTAAACAGTATTTATCATATTGGTTACCAATATAAACTTTTAAAAGTTAAAATTTGACTTTGCTACTATTTAAGGTTTTAAATTACCTTAGTTAACCAGGAAAGAATAGAACATAAACTGCCATCGTACCCACGTTCAATATAGAAAGGTACTCTTTTCCAATTTGAGTTTGTTACCATTTCCTAAAAGAAAAGTTAAACCACATTAAAATATTTTTAACAATATAAATAATTTTCTGTCGTATCTGCATTAGGCAATCCTTGAAACATAATAATAATAATACTTAAGTTAAACATAATAATAATAATAATAAAAACTCAAAAAGAAAGGTTGGGTCATAAAAAAGCAATCACCAGGGAAATGATCAAGATGAGTGAGTATAGAATATGTTTGTATCATCATTTGATCCTTATTTTACGACCATTTATATTTAAACACTATTCGAACAGAGCTCTTTTTTTTGAAAACAAATTTGAAAAATGTTTAAAAATAAAATCTAAGATAATTTAACTGAGGAGAAAAAAACAATGTATTAAAAAAAAAAAACTCATTTAATTAAAATGATAAAAATGAAGTATCTTTTAATTTATTATTTTTACATTTATCTTTAATGCATATAAATGCACGATAGACTAGATATCATGCATTTATATGCATTATCAGTTTCGTTGTGTACTAATTGTTTTGTTTTTTTGCCAAAAATAATGTAATGGAAATAATATTGCAGGTTTTATTCAAGGAAAAGTTAGAGTTAAAAATTTTAGAACTTAAGAATAATATTTTGCTAAAATCCTTAACATCAGTGAACTTTTGGAATACAGTAGACAGAAAAGTTTCCGTTTTTGAAAAAAACGGAATATAAATCAAATTATTTTTCGGTTCGACTTATTTATGCAAATCATTGTTTTCAAACATAGTAATAAAATCAAGATATAGACCTCGATTGACCAATGAGCGTCTTTATAATTGTTTGCTAACAGAATTATTGTCATACTCTCCTAATTGTGAGGCACTGGCCAATGTTATGAATGCCAAAGATCACATTGACATTGATATTATATTTTTTCATAAAGTGTTTTTTTTTTGTACTTTTGTTTTCGTTTACTTTATTTACGTTTTGTAACTACATTTCTCTTTATGTATGTAATTTGAATAGATATTTTTTTTATTATTTTATGACCTAACGAAATTTATGGTAGTATTATTAAAAACAGGTGGTGCCCGTAACCCTACCGATGTTTTAGAATGTGTTCAAGAATACAAAAAGATTGGGTTGTTTTAAAGGATTATCTATAGTTATATTTGCTGATGTTTTCAATTTTATTACTATTTAAACTTTTAATTTTTCTTTTTTCTTTTTTCTTTTTTTTATGTCTAGAAAACTTTCTAAATTAAAAAACTGTCTAAATTAAAGTAAGCATTTTAAAACATTAAATATGCAAAATATACAACGGCAGTGCAAGTTTAAGTAAAAAAAAAGTTTTAAATAAAGGAAAGTCTCATAGTTAAGTTAATATTAAAATTATATATATTTTATACTAATAAGTTTAATAAAAATAAATTCTTACTGACCAAGATTCTATCTTGACATAATGGGTGGTTAGGTGTATTACATGGGCAAACTTTTTCAACCTAAAAATTAAGAACAAGATTATATTTAAAATGATAAATTGTTTTAACAGCTGCTATAAAATAACAAAATATTTGCAACCTTACTTTACTGAGGTAATTGACTATTGAACACTTGCTTCCATCGACTCCTTTTAACTTATAAATCGGATTTGTTTTCCAATACGCTTGCATCCACTTTTTGAGATAAATATAAGTAAATAAGACAAAAAAAAATTTTTGTAGCTTAACTTGTTGTGAAAAATATCTTTGTTATAATGTTTTGAAGTAAAGAGTTGTCACCATGTTTTTGTTAGCTACATTTGTTTTGGGCAAAGGTATAGAGTTGTCGCTGTGTTTTTGTTGCTAAATTTGTTTCTGGAAAAGGTAAAGAGTCATCACTGTGTTTTTGTACCTAAATATTTTTCGGGAACTAAGTAAAGTAGTTGTCACTTTGTTTTTAAGATAAAAAAAATGATCATCAAGTTATCATAAAGAGTTATCATCAAGTTGTCATAGCGTTTTAATGTAGCAAGACGAGAGTGTTTTTGCTAAATGCACTAAAAAAATTTTATAAATGCAATAATGAAACTCAAAATAAAACAACTTTAAACCAAATTTTTTTTTTTTTTTTTAATTATTTACCTCCCCAAGGCCCGAGGGGCCACTACAGTCGAGGAGGCTACTCATTTTTTTTTGTTTTTATATACTTTTTAAATATAGAAAAAAAAACTAAAAATAACAAGTAGTTATCTACTTTTTTGTAAATATATTATAAATAAAATAAACAATAGAAAATAACAATATACCCTAGCAAACATTGTTTTAGCAGATTTGCATTGGACCTATATAAGCATTTGTGAGCGGTTCAATGTAGCTTTGCTTATGGTTTACTTAGTGGACCATTTGTGGTAACCGCTATAAATGGCCAGCCAATAACTCTCTGACATGTTAATTAATAGTGGCCACTAATGGTCCACTAAGTAACCAATGAGCAAAATTACAGTGAATCACTCAAAATGCTACAAACAGATCCATAAAATTCCGCTAAATAATGCTAGGACTGTAGATTACAGCTTTGTTTTATGTAAACTTATCAAAACTGAAAATGACAATGAACTAATAGCTGTGCACCTCAGTGTATAAGTGCGTTGTTGGTGTATGTAGTAGTGTAGTGGTAAAGCGCTTGCTTTATGAGCAAAAGTTCCAAATTTGATTACCATTACGTCCCTGTTAGTACCGCGCTTAACTCTTTTCTCCGCGCAGCGACCTTGTTCACCAAGGTTCGTGTTTTAGAGTTATAAATTTGAAAGAGGGTTGGTAACCACAATTTAAAAAAAGTTGCTTTCTTGATTATAGTGGCCTACACTGCCTTGGGGAGGTGAACTAACATTGATAAAAGATGTGACAATTTTATTAGACTTTATATTATATATTTTTATATATATTTATAAACTTAACTTTGTTTTTTTTTTCTTTATATGATCAGTTTTAGTTTAGTCGTTAAATATCGAATCAGTGAACAATGAATCGTATAATACAAGATAACTGGACAAGAATATTATCTACAGCATTCTTGATGACAGCAGTACATTTTGGCAAATAATATTATGACTGTCATTATTCAATTTCAATAGAACAAATGCAAATACAAAAAAAAATGTAAAACAATTGCGAACGTCAGCAATTATTTCTGATGCAAATTCAACGTCAATTCAATATTAAGTGTTTAGCAAATATATCAGTGAAAAAGAACAATACCAACGCGTTAAAAAAAGCTAGTACAGTAACGTTGTTCCAACTTCCCAGTGGGCACGCGTTCTCCGGGGGACGACCGTCGGATATCTCACGGACGTTCAAACGTTCGTCTAAATTGATTTTCTATTTTGTATTTTTTAATTTAATATTTTTTACTTTTTAATTTAATTTAGACTCTCTTAATTTGAATTTCTATTTTACATTTTTTAATTTACAATGTTTTGACAACTACTGAGCTCATCTAGCTCAGAACAAATGAGCTTAAGTCATCGTCTCTAATAAATAGGTTTTCCATCAAAAAATTACTTCACCTCGTTGTTTAACTTATTAATAGGTTTATAACTTTATCAAAAAATTTTGTTTTTTGCAAAATATTTTATTTAAAATTTACTAAATTTTCATTCGAAGTGGTTCTAGGTTTTACGGGTTTAAGTGTTGAATAAATTTGAAAACCTAATAAATGGTACCAATTTTTTAAGAGAAAAAAATTCAACTTGACACCAGTATAAACAGTAAAATGTTTGTATGCAATATTTTAATATTTACAATATTGGTATGTTAAATAAAATTAGAAAAGTTAACATAAAAAAGTATTAAAGAATAAAATAGGAGATTTTCTTTTATCTCTTAGATACATTATATCAAACACATCTTGTTTTGAGTTAAAGATGAAAAGTTCTTTCTTATGTATCATTCAAGTTCTAACAAATCCATCACTTCTTCCTTGGACATAAACAATGCTTTTTAGCTTCTTGAAACAGCGTTTCAATCAAAAATTGTGTTAGAGGATTTGAAGTGGACCTATATAAAAATTTTCGTTCTAGTTTTGCTCATTGATTACCTAATGGGCAATTAGTGACAGCCTCTATAAATGGCAAGCCTATAAATTTTTGACATGTTAATAATAGCTAGTCATATATATATATATATATATATATATATATATATATATATATATATATATATATATATATATATATATATATATATATATATATATATATATATATATATATATTGTTGTTTTATTGTACTAAATTAGCATACAAAAGTCTCTTGTTCGTTTGAGAGTGATCAATATAATGTAAGTGTTTACAAAATAGATCAATAATAATAATAAAAGAGTTTGATTATTTGAAAAAATACAACTTTGTGATGGGACTTGAAATTTCATGCCCTTCGGCAATCATCAGCCATATTTTATTCTTTTAAATCAAGAAAAAACTTTTTTCAAGTTCATCAAGCCAATACCAATCATCAGCCATATTTTATTCTTTTAAATCAAGAAAAAACTTTTTTCTTGATTTAAAAGAATAAAATATGGCTGATGATTGCCGAAGGGCATGAAACTTCAAGTCCCATCACAAAGTTGTATTTTTTCAAATAATCAAACTCTTTTATTATTATTATATATATATATATATATATATATATATATATATATATATATATATATATATATATATATATATATATATATATATATATATATATATATATATATATATATATATATAAAATAAGTAATTATTTTTTAAAAATAACATGATGTTTTTTTTTCTTGACATATTTCGTAAAATTTATTTACATTTTCAAAAGATTATTTTACAATAATAAAACTGAAATAAATATTAAAAAATTGAAGTCTTTACAGAGAAATAAAAACGGACAAAAATTTACATAATGAACCAATATATTTAATTACAAAATAACTCGGTAATTAACTAATTTAGGCTTTATACCGAGTTATTTTGTAATAAATATATAGGTTCATTATGTAAATTTTTGTCCGCTATTATTTCTCTGTAAAGACTTCTATTTTTTAATATTTATTTCAGAGTTTTATTAATGCAAAATAATCTTTTGAAATGTAAATAAATTTTACAAAACATGTCAAGAATAAAAAACATCGTGTTATTTTTAAAAATAATATATATATATATATATATATATATATATATATATATATATATATATATATATATATATATATATATATATATATATATATATATATATATATATATATATATATATTAGGGTGGTGCTTAAAACAACTTTTTTGAGAAAAACCTGCTGGTACCCCCTAAATGTGTTTTATCTAATACAAAAACACTAGGTTTAAAATTTTTTTGAACAAAAATTATTTTTAGGGGTAGCTCAAGGCCCTCAAAAATTTGACGGGTCCCTAATATTTTGAAAAAAAAACTTTTTCTAAAGTATGTCAACCTGGTACTCAAAATAAGCAAAATTATATAAAAAATTTAAAAATGAAAATAATTTTTTATAAAAATAATTTTTTCAGGTATAAATGCATAAAAACTATTGTTTTTAAGCTGAAAATAAAAAAAGTCAATATTTTCAGGTTTTTTGAGAATAATTTTTTTTAGGCATGTTTTTTATGTAAAATGATTATTATTTTTGAAGTTTTTATACAATATCGCTTCTTTTGAGTACCAGGTTGACATACTTTAGAAAAAGTTTTTTTTTCAAAATATTAGGGACCCGTCAAATTTTTGAGGGCCTTGAGCTACCCCTAAAAATAAGTTTTGTTCAAAAAAATTTTAAACCTAGTGTTTTTGTATTAGATAAAACACATTTAGGGGGTACCAGCAGGTTTTTCTCAAAAAAGTTGTTTTAAGCACCACCCTAATATATATATATATATATATATATATATATATATATATATATATATATATATATATATATATATATATATATATATATATATATATATATATATATATATATGTATACAGTATTGGCCATTAATAACAATCCAGCGTGTTTTTTTGATATCATTAGACTTTGTTTGATATTAAATCAATGATTGTTTGACTCTTCTTAAATATAAAAAATATATATTGATGAGCCTTTTATTTTCTTCCAAATAAATGTAGGTATTCATAAAAATATTATTTGATGTGCTAATTATATTGCTTGTTTTTGACATATATCACATATTCTAAAATAACAATCCGCTTTATTATTTTAAACTTCCTTTAAAATTTCATTTGTCTTTGATTAAAACATTGCACTTATTTACGAGCTATTTATAATTATTTGAGAATTTTTATTTAAATTGTTATTACTACTCAAACAATTTGCGTGAAATAAAATAGAAAAATGAGTATATAATAAGCTACAATATTTCATCAATAAAACTATCAAATTGACAGGAAAAATTATTGATAATATAATAAAATGTAAAATCATTGTAATGAATAAACAAAAAATCTTAACAAGAGAAACTGCAAAACATTTTAACACAACGCATTTAGCAGAATAATTATTATTTAAGAGATTAAAGATATAATACAATTCAAAATCCTCCATGTTGTGGAAGACTCAGCATTTCAAATAAAAGAAATTAACGTTCATTTATTCGCATACTGAAAAAAAAGAAGAAGTTAATCATCAACAGATCTCAGTTAAAAGATTACTACATATAAAAGAATACTACAAAAACACAATTACATATGGCGAGCTACTTGCGAAAAACCACATTTATTGATAAAACATCAGAAAACATGAAAAAAACTGTTGTTTAGCTCATAAAATTTGGTCTACAAGCATGTAGCACACAATTTTCTTTTCAGAGATGAAATAATTTCTGACACATGAGAAAATGGACCCAAAGTGTTCTACGTAGAGAATAAGTGTTCTACCTAGAGAATAAGTGTTCTACGTAAAGAATAAGTGTTCTACGTAGAAAATAAGTGTTCTACGTAGAGAATAAGTGTTCTACGTAGAGAATAAAATATTTTAGTTGTAGTATAAGCATCTGGGCATAAACTATGAAGGTTGAAGGAGCTATGAAAGTGAATTATGAAGGTGAAGGAACTATGAAGGTGTTGGTTGTTTCAAAATTATAAAACAACCAACACCTTTCAAATATTTCCAACAAGATAATGCTCCATACTGCTAAGATTAACAAGCAACTGGTCTGGGTTAAACCACAATTTAAGTAAAAATGAAATAAAATATCTGACCAGATGAAAAATTAGGTAACAAAATTACTAGATAGTGTTCCAAAAGAGATTACTCAGAATTTAGAATAAACACTTTTTTTAATTTCAGTATTTTATTTTTTGATTTTTATTATTTTATATTAAGTTTTCTATTGTGATATATATATATATATATATATATATATATATATATATATATATATATATATATATATATATGTATATATATATATATACATATATATATATATATATATATATATATATATATATATATATATATATATATATATATATATATATATATATATATATATATATATATATATATATATATATATATATATATATATATATATATATATGTATATATATATATATATATATATATATATATATAAATATATATATATATATATATATATATATATATATATATATATATATATATATATATATATATATATATATATATATGTATATATATATATATATATATATATATATATATATATATATATATATATATATATATATATATATATATATATATAGATATATATACATACATATATATATATATGTATATATATATATATATATATATATATATATACATATATATATATATATATATATATATATATATATATATATATATATATATATATATATATATATATATATATATATATATATATATATATATATATATTTATTTTGTTATTCAACCATATCAGTAAAAATGTACAAATCTCATCGTAAATTAATAAAACTTAGTTAGGTGTCACTCATATAGTTACAAACTATTCAATGGAGTGACACCTGAAAAACATAAAAATATGTTATTTAAACATTCTCATAAAATAAAGAAATAAAGAAATAAATAAAAAATAAAAAATAAACGAAAAGCATAAACAAAAACAAAAACAAAAAAATGTATATAAATAAAAGATAAAGATGAAGAAAAGTTTATTAAACAAATAATAATGATATATATAATAATTATAGTAATAATACAAAATAATAACAATAATATTAAATTATCAATTATATTAGGAATATTTAACAAATAATAACAATATAAGGTAGCAATAATAACACGATAATAAATAAATAATAAATAGATGAATAATAAATAAAGCAAAAATCAAACCACTCGCTCGTTAAAGAAATTATATAATAAAGACAACTACAGAACAGAAAGAAATTATAAAGAAATACACTCTAAAATACACTGGTTCCAATTGGAAATACATTGTTGTTTTATGGAAAACTTACCATATTTAATGTTTTTGAAAATAGAAGAGTATAGATTATTAACTGTGTTCATGATGTGATGATTATGAATTTCAACTGTTTTAATAAAAAAGTTTAAAAAAGAATTTGGTATTTTTTTATTTTGGAGAAAGTCAAACACAAAAAGGCAATTGTAAAACTTTACAAGATTATGGAGTTTGAGGATTTTTAGTTATGAATATTTTTTTTTTGATATCAGATCTCATTGGCAAAAACGTCATTATTCTAATAGATGCGCGTTTTTAACTAGCAATGCTGTTAGTAAAAGTTTCTTTTTTGACCCAAAACAATACAACAATAGCAAAGGTGAGAAGAGAATAAAGAAAAATAAATCATTTAAAGAGTTTGGATAGGAACATAGTAACGAATTCGAGAAAACATACTGTTGGCTTGTGTAAGTTTTTTTTTAAGATGATACAGTTGATTATAACAAGATAGGTTTTTATCAAGATATATTCCAAGATACAAGTTGATTACAATTAATTGGGTTTTCTTCGAGGTTTACGTCATTGTCATTATTGTCATTAAGTTGATGGGAAATGAAATCATTAAGTTTGTTATAAAGATTAGACTCTATGGTGTTTGGAAAAGATGATATGTTGTTTGAGAATTCATTAATGTGAATCACTTTATCATTTATTGTTTGCAGACGCAGGTCCTTATCAGATAAAGAACTAAATAGAAAAACATATTTCCTACATAAAATACAGAAATTTAGAATTTTTCAATATCCTAAATTCCATATAATTCAGACAAAAGCATTTTTTATAAAAAAAAAGCTCAGGCAATAATTACATTGAAGGTAGCAATGGTTTTTATTAACTTTCTTGAAAAAATCTTTGCAGTGAGTAGACATTTAAGTAGTACAGTTTATAAAATGAAATGATTAAAGTGAAATAAGGAAACAAACAGTAATATGAACTTCAATATAACCAAAAATAATAAAAGTAACAGTGTTTATTAATAATATAAATATAATTCAATTAATAAAATAGTAATAATGTTTATGAAAAAATACTATTAATTAAGTTAGGGAGGAATAACGTAAATATATATTAAAAATAAGTTAAAATTAGCTAAATTATAAGTAATAAGTTTGAAATAAAATAAATTAAATTCAAGTAATAAAAAATCATTGCCTACTTTATTTATAAAGTATTTATTTATAAATAAAGTAGGCCATGTAAAAAATTATGAATGATTATAAGTAAAATATTCTAGTTATAATAAGTGAAAATATACTTAGTATTATAAGTTAATAAGTAAAACTAAAGTAATTAAGTTAACAAACTATATAGACTATATATATATATATATATATATATATATATATATATATATATATATATATATATATATATATATATATATATATATATATATATATATATATATATATATATAAAAATAAAATAATTAAATAAAACGAAATAATTATATATTAAAAAAAATATATATATATCTTTAAAAAAAGTTTATACGCAGCCGTATTTATTGAATTCTAACTATATATATATATATATATATATATATATATATATATATATATATATATATATATATATATATATAAGTTAATAAGTAAAACTAAAGTAATTAAGTTAACAAACTATATAGACTATATATATATATATATATATATATATTATATATATATATATATATATATATATATATATATATATATATATATATATATATAAAAATAAAATAATTAATAAAACGAAATAATTATATATTAAAAAAAATATATATATATCTTTAAAAAAAGTTTATACGCAGCCGTATTTATTGAATTCTAACTATATATATATATATATATATATATATAAGTTAATAAGTAAAACTAAAGTAATTAAGTTAACAAACTATATAGACTATATATATATATATATATATATATATATATATATATATATATATATATATATATATATATATATATATATATATATATATATAAAAATAAAATAATTAATAAAACGAAATAATTATATATTAAAAAAAATATATATATATCTTTAAAAAAAGTTTATACGCAGCCGTATTTATTGAATTCTAACTATATATATATATATATATATATATATATATATATATAATATATATATATATATATATATATATATATATATATATATATATATATATATATATATATATATATATATATATATATA